CACTGCAAGGGGTGGCAGTGTGTGACGACGTGAAAGGGGGGGGGGGTTGTTGGCTGCGTCGGCATTGTAGGGGTTGGAAACATGGTGCCTGGTGCAGGGGGTACAGTCTGTACTATTGACACAGAGTTCGACGTGGTAGGCACGGGGTTTGAGGTTGTCGGCACTGACTTTGAGGTGTGGGCACATACTTGGAGTGGTGCGCCGCACTGGTAGACGAAGGAACCTCTCACTTTATTCGGCAAACAAGATCGACGTAAGAAACGCATGCTTTAACGGCACTGGGCGTGTACCAACGTCTAACAATGTCGTGGCGCCATTGGCGGCATCTCGATGTTGTTTGTATGGACTTATGCTGAACGAGGCTCGACTTAGTCGCCAATGCGGAGAAATATGCTCTTATCCTCGGATATCAACTATACAGTAAATAGCGTACACCTTGAGATAACATGCGTGCCTGACACCACCACTGTATTGTCGGCTGCCCTAACACACAATTGGTCGCCCACGCTAAAGAACAAATGCTAGTATCCCGAAGCTACATGGAATTAGTGCGATCGAGATGGGACGTCCAGTCGGATTCTCATCGGTCTTTCTTCGCCACAAATAAGACGCCATTCTTGAGGCGCCCCTTCGTGGCCTGGGTTCCTGCGTCGGACTTGGGCCGCCGGGACACTTTGCCGCGAAGCTTCTTGCCATGCACCACACCGGACGCTTTCTCCTGCAATGGGCGTTAGACAACGAGATACGACGGCATGTCCATCTCGCACCTCCACCACACGCGACTCCAGTCGTTGCGCGCCTTTCTTCTTGATCGCCATCATAATGTTGTATGGCATTTTCTCTTGCTTGGCGTCCTACAACCGCGGCATCACCACTTTACCACCAATAGCTCAACGAACACAGTACCTTTCCCCCTAGACGGACTACGCGCTCCAACTCCTTCTTCTTCTTATCCTTCCCAGTCGCATTCTTCATGTCTACGGCAGCAGTCAGTCTCGGACGTTCTGTATCATCGTCATGCAGTTGAACGTACTGTAGCCACGGACGTCGTCCACAGCCTTCTTGAACTGCTCGTCCACTTTCTGGTTTCGCGTCAGCTCTTCTGTCTGGTTCTTCTTCGTTCGCGGGGCAGATTCCCGCCGGCCGAACGGCACGGACGGACATTCGAACACCTGTACGACTCGGGATGGCGGCGCCATTTTCATATTTGGCACAATAATACTGTATAAATTCATATTTTGATTGGCACCAACAATACGTCACTTGAGTTTCAATAGGTGGCGATGTATCTAAATAGAGAGGTTTCTATTTTTAGCACATTTGACAGTTGACCGCTCGCGATTCGCAGGCGAAGGTACACCATCACCTGCCAACGACTTCGTTACGTCTAATGCAACACTTGTAGAAGCGAGACTACATACCTATTCCCAATATCTCGATGTCCAACAACGTGCGTCAGCCCTTCTTGTTCAAACTGCCGCTAAGCTGCTCACTTAGGAATCCACGACTACCAGAGCCGACGAAGCCAAGGCCAAGCGTGATGCCGATGTTAGTTTTATGGCAACGCGACATGGAGATAGTCTTATGTGTGCAATGTGAGTAGAATGTCTCGGTGTGCTCTCATTCAAGCTCGAGGTCCAGCGCGAGCTCGCGGAGTGCTTCGTCATCGACGTCTTCGTCGATGGTGTCGGCATCTTGCAAGTCCAGTGCCAGTGCAAGCCGACGAGGTGGAGCATCGATAGTGTCGTCTCGAAGTCGATCGTCCTTATCTACAGGTGTGGGACGCATGAGTAACGTTATGTCAACCAGGCTGATTTGATGTCTTCATCACAAGCAACGTCCATTCAAGAATTGGAGGTGCGAAAGCTGGAGATTGAGGCGCAGCTGAGGGAAGTGGAATCAGCTCTCGAACAGAAGCAGTCCATTGGGGCCACTCAGGTGCGTCAGTCTTACTGTTTTACAGTGAACGAGTCTCAGCCAGTGTATAGGTTCGCCGCCCGTTTGCATTGCTGCCACGATCCAGGTAGTTAGGTCGACAAGTATATACTGTCGAGCCTACTTGGTGAAAAACAACTAAACGCAATAGACCATTGTATTGTTCATGACTACCCCGAAGCCCCGAAAGTACTAAAGAAAAGGATTAAGTGGAAGGCGTGACACAGGACTTTGCATGTTAATCGTTAACTACAGTAAAGTTATACTACTGTAGTACTTTAAAGTACCGGTAGTAAGCATAGTTGATGGGCTTGATGTGTGCTTCTTCAACCTAAGAATGCGGGGTAGGGGAACTCTCGTAGCCTCGACCAATCAAATCGGCCCATCCAGGGTAACCAACCTGTCATTTCGAAACGAGCAGCTATGGCGGCCCTCCTCCTGCTGCGCCGAGTCACCGCGACCTCGTCCAAGTCCGCGTTCATCCTTCGCCACTATGGCGCAGCGAATCGCCGCTTCCTCTCCAACGATGTTGCAGAAGACGCGCCGGTGCGACAAAAGGTCCGAGCGGACTTTCCCACGTTCACCCTTGGTAGGACGATCACTCTATCTGTGCGATGACGTCATGCGTGGCGTAGATGCATTTGCCCTCCGCCAGTTCGACGACCCCGCGTATGCTGGCACGATCGTCAACTACGACAAGGATGTATTCGAGGCCAAGATCAACGAGTTCTTCGAAGCCGGCGAGTGCGACCTCGTCGACGGGTACGCTCCGTTTTGCAAACATTTGTTTGTGCCCAACTTCATCAATGCGCGCATTCCAACGGTGCCCATCACCAACAAGTCGGTCCATTTGCTTCAATCGGGGTATATTTCCCGCGTGCCCGAAGAACTCCCAGTGTACGTCGTCCTCGTCGTCCCAATCAAGCTAATCTTGGCGTCTTAGATTGACGAGATGGTTTCCCAGCCACAGCGTGACCCCCGAGACGGCCAAGTACCTGGACATTGTGCTGTACAGCCGGGAACAAGTTCGATTGGAGAATGCCGCCATGGGCAAACCCATCGACTCGACCGACTCTCCGTGGCGCATCGTCGGCATCAAAGCCCAGGTGGTCGACTACGAGCTGCCCATGGAGCCCATGGCCGTGCTGCGGAATGCGCTCGGCACGGACGCGGGCGGGTCGGGCGTGGCCCTGGACAAGGACAAGTACCTTAAGTCCGTCGAGTACTGGTCCCAGCACGCCCACATTAAGTACCATTAAGACATTTGTGGTTCCATCTGTGGATTCATTGTTGCTAGTATATACTAGTACTAGTACTACGTACTAGTAGTACTCTGGAGTTCTAGTAGTATTAATAAATAGTAATACTAGTATTGTAATAGTAGTACTTCAAGTATTAATATTAATAGCGTTATTATTAATAGTACTTCGGTACTACT